TACACGATTCGTGTGTAGGAGCTTGAGTAAAAGCAGTTAAGAGGATGATACACTTCTGCTATGCCACAAAGGTACAGCCTGTACTTTCATTAGTTTATTTTACCTTGTGCACAAGGTAATACAGGCTCCTTTTAAAACTAGGGATGATAATTAGATCTCTTTGAATAACAGAACCAATTAGTCATGAATAATTTAGCCAACATTTGGTACAAATCAGTCATCAAATGAATTCAACAAATACTGTTTGACCAGCTTATGCACCTGGTTGACTAATATGAAAAATTATTCACTGAACAAATTAAGGGACAAAAATGCCAAAATCCATGAATTAAATCCTTGGGAAATTATTTGGTTAGCTCTAATAATAATACTTAAAGAACCTAATTAGTATTATTCTTACTAAAATACCATAAGTGGAAAATGCAAAGGGATGAATAAGTATGCTTTGCCTTCTGGAATCATGACCTAGAGGATCAAGCAATAACTTGATGAACAAAAGAAGAAACATCACAGATTATATATCAGTTTTTGTTCTGGATTTCTTGTATTGCCCTAGTATGTTTGCAGTACCTGCAGCTTTGCATTAAGAAAAAGCTCTTAGTTAAGCATGGTGTTTCAGGACTGTTACGAGTCATCTTTGCAGCTAGGAAGGAATATTTTGCCCAATGGCGCACAATTTGTTAAATGTGTTCTTGAGAAAGAGAAGCAAAGAAAGTCTTCCAAGGGTCTGTTTTATTGTGGATGGAGGTGAAGTAAAGTCATAAGGTTGAATAAGATCTAGTGACAAGGGATATCCTTTCGTCAGTTCTTTCTGGATAATTCTTGGTCACATACTGATCAACAGATTTTATTTAATAGGGAGGAATTTCCCTGCTTTCTCTAATCCCAGATTATATTATCAGAATTTTGAGGTTTTTTCCCCTCTGTGGGATAGACATGGTTTGGGTTTTCAGACTGTTTTACCAAATCCATTACTGCTATAGCAGAAGCTGTGGACCTTGTTAAAGCCTATTCTCTCTTTCTACCTTTGGCAAATAGTTTCATTTTCTGAAAACTGAAGTCCTTTAGTCTAACTAGCTTATT